GTGCTAGGATTACAGGTGTGAGCCACCATGCCTGGCCTATTTCACTTTTAAATAGGTTCAAAATGTATATATATTTATGGGTTTATAACATGTATATATGTGTATGTAAGTACATACACACATATATGTCTTATTGATGTGATTTGATTTAATTTCTAGGGTTTTGTGTGGTTTTTGGATTTGTTTTTTGTTTTGTTTTGTTTGGCGCCAAAAATTGTGCTTCCATGAACTTCCTGATGAGGAAATGATTGAGTGAGTGACCAGATCACTGCATTGGCCTTAACATTAACACTTAGGGAAGAGGTATTATCAATATTGTCAATACCATCCTCATTTTATAAATAAGAAAATAGATACACAAGTAGTTCCCAGACTATAAAGACAGTGCCCTTTCTGCAGTGCAACTGTCTACTGGTTTTCTGTCTTTCTGTGGCACAAAGAGATATGATTCAATTTAAGTATATGTGTGACCTTCAATAAGTCATTTCTTGTCATCAAGCCTTAGTTGTCTCATCTTAAATACCAACCTCACAGGGAAATTTCATTGAGGCTTAAAATGATTTAGTGTCTGCAAAAATCTCTGCTTTGTGACTAAATTGCTGCACAGATTTAAGAGTATTTTATAAATGGCAAAACCAAGCGCTTAATCATGTTCACTTTATAACCACATATTGATGATATTTTGCCCAACTAATGAATGGTAAGTTTTGCAATACCACAACAAAACACAAGAGGGGGTTCATTTATGTTTTTCTTCTTTCTCTTTCTTTTTTATGAAAATGTCCCTTGAGTCATAATACATTTTTTATTGCAATGTCAGTTCATTTAACAGATATTTTGTGGCATTTACTGGGTGAAATCCTGTGAGATTGTCAGAATTTTTGAGGGGCTCAAGTAAGCAACTCTGCATTTCATTCATTCACTGTAATACATTTTCTGCAGTTGCAGTTTCTAAGAGGTGCTTTGCTCACAAAGCTAAACAGATAAAGCTGCTGACATTCCCAGGCTCAAAAAAAGAGCAATGTCCAAGATTTCCCTTGTGATTATTACATACCTGAATAGTGAATAATCCTAAACTGGCATGAAATGCAGTCTAATAGGCTGTTACTCATCCTTAATCTGTGTGGAGGGCAAACAAGTTTAGAAGACATATGTTTCAGGCTGGGTGTGGTGGCTCACACCTGTAATCCTAGTATGCTGGGAGCCCAAGGCAGGAGGATCACTTGAGCTCAGGAGTTCGAGACCAGCCTGAACAAGAGAGACACCCCATCCCTACTAAAAACAGAAAATATAGGCCGGGCGCAGTGGCTCACGCCTGTAATCCTAGCTCTCTGGGAGGCCGAGGCGGGCGGATTGTTTGAGCTCAGGAGCTCGAGCCTGAGCAAGAGCGAGACCCCGTCTCTACTAAAAATAGAAAGAAATTAATCGGACAACTAAAAATATATAGAAAAAATTAGCCGGGCATGGTG